CTTGTATAACATTGTACTTAAAGTGAGTTTCTTATATATACATAATTGATCTTCCTTTTAAAATCCAATCTGATAATCTCTCTTTGTCTAGTTGACTGATGTTTGGATTTAGGGCTATCATTTTATTTGCTTTCCTTTTTTCCCCCTCTGTTTTCTCTTTCATGTCTTCTTTGGGGTATATTTGACTCTGTTTTAGTATTCCATTTCAGTTTCTCAATTTTATTTTAATTAGTATATCCTTGTATATATATTTGAGTACTGTAGGAAATATTAAATACAGTCAACTCTCATTACTCATGACTTCCATGAATAATTTGTGAATAAATAACATTTCAGTTTATTTAAAATTACTGTTTTACCATTTCAATTGATAGGTTGAAAACTTATCCTAATAAGGGACTTTACTTTCCTCTGTTTCTGCTCATTTCTTATATATTATATTTGCATACACTGAAAATCCCATGAGTGCTAATGTTTTTTATTTCAGCCAGCTAACATTTCAATTATATTGAGACTAGTTTATTATATTTACCCAGATATTTACTATGTCTTTTGTTTACCTTCATTCCTCATGTTCAGAGTTTCCTTTTAGTATCATTTCTTTTCTGCCTGGAGAATGTCCTTTACCAGTTATTTTAGAGCAGACCTGCTTATTTCTTTAGTTTTCCTTAACTGAGGCTCAATTCCCCCCAACCTCACCCCTGCCACCAGCAGTTTGTGAAGTATTCTTTTTTTATGAAATACACAATTTTAAGTGAATGGTTCTTTAAATACCTTTAAAATGCATTGCCATTTCTCTATTTTGCTATCATAGTTTCTAATGGGAAATCTGTGGTCTTTGGAACTGTTGTCCTATAAATCATGCTAATCATGTTTTTTTTTTTCCCATCTGGCTGCTTTCATCATTTATCCTTTGTCTTTAATTTTTAGCAGTATGATTATTTTACATGAGAGTGTGGATTAGTTTGTCCTGTTTGGGATTCACTTAGCTGCTTTCTCCTATAGGCTTATGTCTTTGACAAACCTGGGAATTGTTCAGCACTTATTTCTTCAGTTTAAAAAATTAATTTCTAGAAAATTTTTACGACTACACTCCTCTCCTTCAGAGATGGTATGACCTTTGTTGTTCTATAGTTTTCTGAGGCTATGCTTATTTATTTTCAGTCTTTTTATTTTTTTTCTTTTGTGATTCAGATCAGATCATTTCTATTGCTTTATCTTCAAGTTCATTGACTTTTTCTGTCTCCCTTCTGCTATTTAAGGTCACTAAATAAGTTTTTGATTTTGATTGTTTTATGATTTTTTTTTTTAGTCCTAAAATTTTCCATTTGGCTCTTTTTTATTTCTTTGTGTTTTATCTTTAATTTCATGTTATTGATGTCATGGTTATTTCATAGTTATTTATTGCCTTTAGAGTATTTATAATGGTCTGCTTATTTATTGCATTTTTAGAAATGGAATAAAGTCTTTGTCAGATAATTCTAATTTCTTTGTCATTTTGATATCAGCAAAATGACATTTTGGTGTCTTTTCTCATACAACTTGAGATTTTGTGGGTTTCTTGTTGTTTTGTTTTTGGGGGGGTTGTTATTTGGTTTTGGTTTTGTATTTCAAATACTTTTTTATTCTATCCTAGACACTATGAATATTATCTAGGTCTTAACCTGTTGATGTTTTAGCATAGGATTGATGTAGTTAGATTCACGCCTCTTGCCTCTGTGAGCTGTAGTTAGTTCCAAAGTCAGTTCCAATTTGTCCTTTGTGTTCTTGGCCAGGGTTTCCTCTAGAACCTGGGGCTTCTGTTCACTATTTAACTTCTCAGGTTCTTTGATATTCTGATAAGGATCATGCATGTGTAGGGCAGGTTCTTATGCAGCTCCTATAGTGTTGCTTTCCTCAGATACTTTCTCCCCATTCTCTCCTTGAATTTCTGGATTTTTGAGGCCTCACATTTTTTATCATCTGGCATTAACTTCTAACTTTGTGATTGCTTCACAGTGGCAGTAGAAGAGAGAGAAATACCAATTGTTATCCTCCCCGGAGTCCACAAAATGGAGAGGAAATTTAGCTTCTTTTCCTCTAGAACTTTGGCTCCCATATAGCGCTTTTTCTGTTGCTGATGCCTCCCAGTGAGATTGCCTAAGGGCTGAAGCATTCAGAATTGGAGAATACAAAAGTAAAAAGCAACAGATTGTCCCAGTTTTTCTGAGTTCTTGGACTTTTCCTCCAACCAAAACTAGAGTTTTCCTGAAATTTTTGTGTACCACGGTGCTCTCCCGTGGGATTGAAACTACATTCAGTTCAGGTTAGGGGATACTAGAGAAAAATCATGGTTATTTCAGTGTGGTTGGAATTCTAGTATTCTTTCTTGGTCAAATAACTGTGCCATGTACTCTGTTAAGATTTTATAGTTATGTTCATTTGGAGAGAAAGTTAAGCATATGTTTACTGCATGTTGTGTAGAACTACAGCTGGATTTTAGATCTAGTTCCTTGCATATCAGGTGAATTTTTTGTTTGTTTGTTTGTTTTGGCCTTGGAATCCCTATGGCAGTAGTGAGGAATAGATTGTTTAATCCCAGAATTTTATGACAATTATTGAGGAGTGGCTTAGTTCAGCTGTTTTGACTTTTTCCCCTCTCTCAAAATTTCAGTACTTTCTGAACACTTAGGATTTATTGTCATACTCTTTTGATTTGAATTGAACCCATTTTCTTTTTATTTTTTTCATTTCTATTGCCATTGCCTTAGTTCAGGATTTTTTTATTTCTCACCTGGACTGGTACAATAAATATTAGATTAAGGCATATGTACATTCCAACCTGCTATTTTCCTCCTACCCCCACATTTATATGTACAAGCAGTATTCTAATCTCTGGAAGTTTGCTTCTAAAACACAGATCTGATAAGACTGTTCTTATTCTGGAATTCCTTTTAGTATATATAGTATCCAAATTCTATGTTGGTATGTATATTTATTTCCGAGTAATTTAAAGTTCCAGGGAAAGGATCATTTATGGGAGTTGCTGAAGTGAATTCTTATTTAGATAACCACTGTAGCCTCTTTATTTCCACCCTTGCCCAATTATTTCTCATCTAGAAGTCAGAATATTCCCATTCAGCCATAAATGTGATGTTCTCATTTCCTTGTTCAGAACCATATAATAACTACTTTCATGCTTAGATGATATATACAATCTTTATTGCAGCTTTTGAGACCCAGTATGATCTCCCAGAAACTGTCACTTCCACTTCTTGTGCTTCAGCCAAAAATTCCAAGGCCTTGCATAGTTAATTCTCTTTCCTGGTCTACTTTCTTATCTACTTACATATAGAGAGAAAGGGAGAAGAACACCTTCTTATGTGTGTGTTAATATGTGAGTATATATGTACATACACTTTTTTATTTGAATGTGCTGAAATGTCACTTATTTAAAGAAGTTTTTCAAAAATAATCTGCTCTGTACCCTATCTACCAAATCACTCAGTTCTTTCCTGAAGCCTTATTTACCAAAGCCTTTACTACTGCCTGTTCTACCTACTTATGTATCTAACTTTCTGTCTATTTTTTCTGTTTTCTGTCTCCCTGAAATAAAATGTGGAAGTGGTAAAGACTTATTAAATGGCTACTATATTCATTGCCCTTAAAACTAAATGGATGACTGACATAGAAGTTTGATAAACATTTGATGAATGAATGTATATACTTTTCTTCCTTTAGACTCAGCCCCTGGAAAGTGGGTTTTGACTTTTGCTTTGACATTATGTATTACATTTTACACTTGTGTTCTTTCATAATCTACCATGAAAAAGATATAATTGATTTATTCTCAGGATTTTTACCACTTAAAATTTAAATAGTATAACTATTTTGATCAACTGTGTATTAATCTATAAGAAGTCTTGAGTATGAATCCAGTGTTTTATATAATAAAAGAACATGTCAAGCAATTTTTCCAAGCTTATTTTGTGGTTTAACTATATATATATATATATATATATATATATATATATATGTAATTTGGTTTGGTGATCCAAGTATTTGAGACCTTCTTTGTGTAACATTACAGTGGTATTTTTGAAATTATCTAAAGTCTGAAGTATATCAACAATAGAAATTATGCTTCAGAAATAACAATTTCAGATAACATCGAAGCTCTCCACATAAGAGCTATACAAATCTAAGAGACTCTATTTATTTTGTCACCTATGTCGTACCCCTTGCTCTGTGCAGATAAGTTGTGCCAAACCAGTATAACTCTGCCCCTTTTTGTTCTTCCTTGATTTATTTATTTTCTTTTTCTTGTATCTTCCCACTGAGATAGCTCCTCCTTTAAATTTGGATAATGCTCATTTTTTTTCTAGCTCTCTATGCAAAAATAGTAGGTAGAATTGTTTTATTTTGCAACTTGCTATTTTGCCAACTTTTTGATTTTGAGGTTGGCCATCTATCCATAGTTACTTTATTTTAAATAATGGGTAGTGTTCCATTCTGAATTTATAGTGATTTATTTATTCCCACTCATGTTGACAGATATTTGGTTTATTTCTGTGTCTTTCTTACTATAAACAATGCTACAGTATTTTTGTACACATTTTTTCTTTTGCAAAAAATTCTCCAGACTATATTCCAAAACACCGGTATTTTCTAGATTACACAGTGAGCTCAACTTTAATAACTATTGCCCAATTGCTCTTAATACAGTTGTAGAAATATATATATGCATTCATACAGTGTACATGAGGATTTTCTTTGTTTCAGAAGGTCACAACATTTATTCTTGGACCATTTAATGTTTGCTTCTTTGTTGGGTGTGAAATGGTATCACAGTTTGGCAATAACTATTAAAAGTAACATTTTCTCATATGATTAGTTGATGCTAACTTGATTTCATAACCTAAATGTTCCTTAAAATGATGGAATTATATATTTTATTTTTGGTAGATGTAACCTTTTTCCTTTGTTTTCTCTGATTGATTGTGAGTAATCTATTTTGGTAGCTCTGGTTGAAGAAGTGTATTTTGCACAGAGGGAACGAGATGAAGCTGTTATGTCTAGGCTGAAATTAGCCATTGAGGAGAGAGATGAAGCAATCACACGAGCCAAGCATTTGGAAATATCTCTAAAAGCGTATGTATACATTTAAAATCATATATGATATTAGGAACATTTATGAAATGTGTGTATTATGTGGTGATTACCTGTTCAACTTATTGCTGATAATTATTGTTACATTAAAATATTGCATGTCCCCACAATCTTTTCTAAAACCTTTGGCATGCTAGATTTGCCTGCCAGGGTGAGAAGTTTTTTGTTTTTTTTTTTAATTGAAGTATATATTACTCTCAATACAGTCACTTTACTACTTCTTAGTTCTCTTGTCAATGTCCTTACCCTGCTTTCCTACTTGACTCCTTATTTTTTCTCATTATCTCTTATTATTATCACTTTCTTGATAATATTATTTCTTAATAATATTATTTTATTTAGCTGCATCTTTCACTTCTCTCTGCTTAATATACCTATTCCTTTACTCCATTACTTTTTACCTTTGTTATTTTAGCTGTGACTTTTAACTTTAGTAATACTTGGAATAGGGTAGAGCCTAAGGGTTTATAATTTTTACAACCCAGGTGAATTAAGTAGGTAAATAATGGATGACACTTAGAAAGATAATATCCTAGAATAAGTACTTCTCAAATTTTATTGTACAATCTGATATCTTGGGAATCGTACTAGAGTGCACATTCTGATTCACACAGTCTGGGATGGGACTTGAGGTATTACCAGATGGTACAAATGATGCTAGTCTAAGGAAAGTGCTTCTAGAAATATGTTACCTGTAAAGTTAGATAGAATATAGTAATCTAATATTTAATGATGATCAAGGAATACACCTATGTCATGTTTATTTTGTCCATTATTATACTAGTCTCAGGAAGATCAGTAAAGTGCTAATTAAAACATGGCACATTAGGGAGACAAAAATTAACAATGAAAATGTTCACAGGTTGTGGTTAGTAATTTTTTTTTGCTTTTTTTTTTATTAATGACTTCATTTTTTTAAAGATTGATAGAGACTCTTCATAAACATTAAATTCATTGAAAAATGCAAACAAAAGTTACTTAAATTTCACACTTTCTGCTCCCAAATAACCATCTTTTAAAATTTTTAAATTTTACTTTTTAATTGGCACATAATAATTACACATATTTATGGAATACAATATGATATTTCAACATATACAGAATGCACCAATCAAATCAAGATAATTAGCATTTCCACCTCCTTATCATTACTTTTCGTTTGGAGCTTTCAAAGTCCTCTCTTCTAGTTCTTCACAGAGTATATAATATGTTATGGTGAACTATAATCACCCTACTATGCTGTAGAACACTATAATTATTTTCTTCTTTCTAACAGTATTTTGGTACTATTATCCGAACTCCCTCTATCCAGCATTCCCACTACATAATCAGTATTCCACTCCTTCTTTGAGATCAACATTTTAGCTTTCACATTTGAGTAAGAATATGTAGTATGTGTGTTTTAGTACCTGACTTATTTCACTTAATGTTCTCCAGTTCCATCTATTTTGCCACAAATGATGGTGGCATTCCTTTCTTTTTTCTTTCTTCCTTTCCTCCTCAACTTTCTTTTCCTTTTCTCACTTCTCCTTTTCTTTCCCATCCCTCTATCCCTCCCTTTCTTCCTCCTTTTCCATATCTCTTTCTCTGCTAGAGTTTGCATCTTGAATGTCTTCCAAAGACCCACATGCTAAAGGCTAACCTGTGGTACTATTAGGAGATGGTGGAACTTTTAATGTGGGCCTTATGTAGTAAGTTAGGTCACTGTGGAGGTACCCTTGAAAGGGATATTGGGACCCAGCCCCTTCTTCTCTCTTTGCTCCCAGCCACTGTAAGGTGAACAGATTCCTCCATCTCTTCCTCCCCACCATGAACTATTGTCTACAGACCCAAAGACAGTAGGGTCAAGTGGCCATAAACTGAAACCTTGAGCCAAAATCACCCTTTATAAGTTGAGTCACAGATATTTGGTCATGGTAACAGGAAGCTGACTAATACAAGCTAGATGATATACCATTGTATAAAAAGACCACATTATCCATTCATCTGCTCATGGACACTTTGGTTAATTCCATATTTTCACTATTGTGAAAAATTCAGCAGTAAGCATGGGAACGCAGGTATCTTTTGGTATGTTGATTTCATTCACTACATGCTGTTTTATTTGAGAGCCAGTGTAGTGTACAGGTTAAGAGGATAGATTCTGGACCCGTAATCTGTCTTTGCATTTTGGCTTTGCTGCTTCCTAGCTGTACTGTATACAAATTACTTAGAGTCAATGGGACTCAGTTGTTGTTGTTTTTAATCTAAATGAATAAAATAAGGCCCAACTTACACAAGTTCTTCTGAGGACTATATGACTTAGTAAATATCTAAAATATTTAGATACCTGGCTCATTTCAAGGGCTGTGTACTTGAATATAAGAATTGAATATAAGAATAATAGTCAAAGAGAACCTGAAGAAAACTGAATTACAGAATGTGTTCTCTCAATAAGAAACATTAATCCCTTTAAAAAATTCTAGTTTTAGGACAGGAGACTGAAAAATATTAAAATATTAAGACATCAAAATTTTTGTATGCAATATGTCAAATTTAAACAGTATTATTTAACTCTCAGATATGAAATAAAGAATTGAATTTTAAACTCTCCCCCTTTTCCTCTTTATTAATATTTTAAAAAAATGTTTGTAAAAGTTGTATTTAGTTTTACAGTTAAAGGGTCCCTTGTTGTTTAATTGTAATTTTGTACAAGAGGATTGAATAATCATTACTGAAACTTTGATCATAGATGGCATTTAAAAATATATATTTATTTTTTAGTTGTAGTGGGACACAATACTTCTATTTTATTTATTTATTTATTTAATGTGGTGCTAGGGATCGAACCCAGGGCCTCACATGTGCAAGGCAAGTGCTCTACTTCTGAGCCACAACCCCAGCCCATATATGGCATTTTTATACCTGGGTTCTTTATTGCAGGGAACCCCTGGGTTACTGAATTTCATTTTCAATTTTTTTTTTGAGAGAGAGAGAGAGAAAATTTTTTTTAATATTTATTTTTTTAGTTTTCGGTGGACACAACATCTTTATTTTATTTTTATGTGGTGCTGAGGATCGAACCCAGCGCCCCGCACATTCCAGGTGAGCACGTTACCGCTTGAGCCACATCCCCAGCCCTCAAATATTTTTTTCCTTTGCATTTCACTCTGTTATTTTAACATTTTCTCTGTGAACTTTATGGAATGCTTGGCCTTTTTGTATTCCTCTGAAATGCAAACACTAGTAAGAAAATTTCTTCATTTCCTTATGTGTTAGTCTATGTTGGTATAATAGAATAACTAAGAATGAGTAATTTATAATGAACAGAAATTTTTTGTCTTTGAATTCTGGAGGCAAGTAAGTCCAAAAATCAATGAGAGCATCTGTCAAGGACCTCCTCGATGAGCCATTTCAGGGTTGTAGGTAGAAGGACAAGCAGAGACAAAAGGGAGCTGAGCTCCCCATTGTAGAATTGAATTTTTTGATTGTATGTAATGAGCACGGAGCCCTGGTGGCCTAATCATTTCCACAAAGACCTACCTCTTAAACTATATTAGTGCCAATTCAAATTCAGTATGAGTTTTGGAGAGGACAGAAATTCATTCAGCACCTTTATTTTTATTTTTATTTTTAAATGTGATCTTGTCTCTTTTGCTTGGTATGTTTTGTGTTGTATTTGAGGTATATATGTAAATGAAATATTATTGTGTCTTGCTTATGCTTAAAATAAGCAGTATCAAGAATTTTGTTTTGTTCTGATATGGAACAGTTGAATTTTCCTTGATGAATCCTCCAAGTTGCAGTTTCTGGACTAGGTATTGTTCTCTTGCTACAGTTCTGTTTTATCTTTGGGCAGTTGGGGTGTGGATGGAAGTCTAAAAGAACTTCCTGTATTTGTATGCCCCTTTTGTTAGAGGTTAAGCATTCTACATAGGGATTTTAGTGTTCATTGAGAGTTCATGCTCTCTGTTCTTGTGTATATCTTGAATACTTTGGGACTTTTATTTATTTCATCATTGTAGTAAAAAATGGGCAATTCTGATACTGTTTTTTTCTATATAGATTCTTCATTAATACAGCCTTTATTTTCTCTTCTTGGGATTATATGTTACAGACTTTCATATGCCATGTTTACTTGGACTTCTAATTTTTGAATAAACTTTTAATTTTAGAATCATTTTTTATTTTCAGAAAAGTTACCAGGATAGAAAAGTTACCTCATTTAGTTTACCTTATAGTAAATATCTTATATTACTATAATACATTTGTCATGGATTAGAATTCAACATTACTATATAATCATTAACTAAACTCCATAGTTTGTTTTTAGATTTCACTAATTTTTCCTAAAGTCCTTTTTTATGGTTTGTTTTATGTTTATGTTTTTATTACATTTAATTGTTATATTTCCTTAGCCTGCCCTGTTGGGTGATATTTTCTTACATTTTTCTTGTTTTTGATGGCCTTGATAGTTTAGTCATGTATTTTTCAAAATCTCTCTCAATTTAAGCTTTTCTAAAGTTTTTCTCATGGTTAGACTGAGTTTATTAGTTTTGAGGGTGAAGATCACAGAAGTGAATGCCATTCTCATTATATCATTTCAAGGTTATAGTCTATTAACATGACTTACTACCAAAAATATAAACTTTGACCACTTGGCCCAAGCAAGGCTGTGCCAGGTTTCTTTACTGTAAAGTTACTTCCTTTCCCATTTTCATACTCTACTTTTTGGAAGCATAATGTTAAGTATAGCCCATACTCAAGAATGAGGACAAGAGGTTGTTGAGTTTTACTTCTGCATAGTTTGGATCTAGAATCTCCCCCCCAAACTCAGGTTTTAATGGCTGTTCTGCACATTGACACTGTTGAAAGTGGTAAAACCTCCAATAAGTGAAGCCTAGTGGAAGGTCTTCATGTCTTTGAGGATTGTGCCCTTAAAGAGGATAGTGGAACTCTGGCCCCTTCCTCTTTCTCTCAGTTGTTCCCTGCCATGAGGTGAA